TGAGGAACAGAGAAAGGGCAATAATACATCTGAAGGTCATCTGAGTCTCTCTAATAGACTGTGATGGTCAGACCAATTGTTAAATACAGGAAAAATTGAGTTCTGAGGTTAACTTGTGTCAGCACCCAAAGCAAGAAAAGGATTTTCCTATGTTCCTGGTTAGGATCTGTGGGTTTCCTTGCAGCACATATCTCATGTACTGCAACAGATTGTAGGTGTGTGTCCAGATTGCATTAACAATCCCCTTTTATAACTGCAAGCAAAGTTTATTCTGAAGTTATAAAGGTCACCCCAGTAATAGCATGGCTGGTTGACATGACATATAACCATGGCCTATTTTATAGTTCTCTTCAAAGATTTTTAATATTCATCAGAGAAAGTCTGGGAAGTAGGTTCTTTATTTACTCAGTGAAAGCTTATAAAATAGCTATATTAAAATTTTTATATGTGTCTATGATTTTAATTTATCACCCTTTCTTGTCGTTTCTCAAATATATTGTGTTCTGGATGCTGTTGACAGAGCAACAATGTTTAATTATACCACAAGGCTTATTTATGGGCAAATCATTACAAAAGAAAAAAAAAATGAAAAAGATTTGTTTCTCAAGATTAGCTCTGAAACTAAATTTGACCTGGTTGTTTGAAGAAACCTTCTTTATTTAGCATGCTTGGGCAAGCAGCACTCTGTCTCCTGAGAGATTAACATTGTAAGCAAGTTATGCAGGTGACTCAAATCCAGTTAATCTCACATAAAGAATGTTAATTGCATTGGCAATGGCATTCACTCTGATCACTTTATAGCTGTATAATTAGCTATTGGACATATTCAAGAGATTTTCTGAGTGATACGAATACAGCATGGGAGATAACTTGTTCTTTCCTGATTCATGCTGTACAAAATGCAGAGATGATGGCAAAATGGAGCCAGCAGCTATCGGTATCTGTATGTCCTTGCTAACTGGGGTCCTTCCATAGCTATTTATTTTCTAACAACTTCTTAAATGTCTTTGAAAATACAGTTTAAGAAGCTGATCTGAAACAAACCTGTATGTATGCTCCTAAATTGTCTTGATGTGGAATCTAGTAATTTACCAAATGACCTTGGGGCCATTTCCTTTCTCATCAAATGGATTCTCCTCCAAATGTGACAGGGATTTATTTTCTCACCTCCTGTATAGATCCATGTGCAGCCACAAGTAGCAATTTCATAAATACCACACACTAATTCCTTAGCTGTGTACATGCAGCTTTTATAAATGTGGTGTAAAATAATTTTTGTGTGCAAACTAAGCCAATGTACAAGCACACACAGAGTTATTAAAATTCAATGTGGACAAAGCAGGGCCTCTAAATCACCATTGAGAATGCTGATCTGGATCTAAATTTCTTAGTTTAAGATCATCTCTTGAAAAACAAATACCGAAATGAAGACTATTGTGTATGAGCTCAGAGTGGGGGTGGTCTGAGCTCTTCTTAGAAGTTGTGTATAAGATAATGTTGCAAATTAAGCTGTTCCCTTCTGGATTCACATAATTAGAGATGGACCAAGAGCATTGCTAGGTATCAACGTTAACGAATAATAGTCTATTTACTTAGCCCAGTTTTAATAAATTTATCAAGGTAATTATCCAGAATTTTTCATGCCTGATTGGAAAACTGAGTTTAATTTATTTTTATAAATTGTCAAAATACTTCATTCTTCTCTAAGAATGTTGTAGCACTTGCAGTTTGGAGGTAAAGATATAATTGGAGAGAAATGGGGAAGGATTTGAAGGGGAGGAATTGAGGAAGCTTTTTGTCCTGAGAAATGCAGGTCTCTCGTTTTGAATATCAGGTCTCTGAAATTTGATAGGAAATAGCTACACTATGCCAGAGATGCAATTTTTATTTTTTTTTTTGCTTGTCCAAAGGATTTTCACACAATTTAGCCAAATATGCAGTTGTCTAAAAAAAAAATACTGAAATCATCAATCCATGCACCAGAGACCCCAGATAGAACCCAGGTCTGAACATCATTTTTATGCAACTGCACTGCACTCCTGCTCCTGTCACTCTCCTGGTTACTTCAACTGCTCTTTCTTGTGTTAATGTTGTGGACAGGCTGTATCTGGGCGACCCGGGGAAAAGAGCTCCAGTTCAAGAGCAGTTCAGACACACAGTGGAGAAGAGTCAGTTTGCTGTGAGGTGTGAAGTGAGGAGCACAGATAGTTGGAAGGGGGACTGGACTTGTGAACTGGGTGGGTTCCAGCTGTGAGAAGTAGTATTTCTAGGCTACGGTCAGCAGCTGGATATGGCTTGTACACAGTCTTGAAATGGGGAATAATTAAGATTTTTATGTGTGGAGAGAGACTAGAACTGAGTTTACATGCCCAAATACTGCTGGAACCTGCAGGTCCTGGGCAGGAATAGGAACAGGACAAAAGCAATGGCTTGGGGAGAAGAATCTTTGCCTGTTAGACATGTTCTTATCTCTATCATCTGGAAAAGTGCTAAAGATTCTTGAGCATGTCTATTTTTCTGCTGACAAAATACATTTTCCCAGGACAAAAGCAATGGCTTGGGGAGAAGAATCTTTGCCTGTTAGACATGTTCTTATCTCTATCATCTGGAAAAGTGCTAAAGATTCTTGAGCATGTCTATTTTTCTGCTGACAAAATACATTTTCCCAGGACAAAAGCAATGGCTTGGGGAGAAGAATCTTTGCCTGTTAGACATGTTCTTATCTCTATCATCTGGAAAAGTGCTAAAGATTCTTGAGCATGTCTATTTTTCTGCTGACAAAATACATTTTCCCAGGACAAAAGCAATGGCTTGGGGAGAAGAATCTTTGCCTGTTAGACATGTTCTTATCTCTATCATCTGGAAAAGTGCTAAAGATTCTTGAGCATGTCTATTTTTCTGCTGACAAAATACATTTTCCCAGGACAAAAGCAATGGCTTGGGGAGAAGAATCTTTGCCTGTTAGACATGTTCTTATCTCTATCATCTGGAAAAGTGCTAAAGATTCTTGAGCATGTCTATTTTTCTGCTGACAAAATACATTTTCCCAGGACAAAAGCAATGGCTTGGGGAGAAGAATCTTTGCCTGTTAGACATGTTCTTATCTCTATCATCTGGAAAAGTGCTAAAGATTCTTGAGCATGTCTATTTTTCTGCTGACAAAATACATTTTCCCAGGACAAAAGCAATGGCTTGGGGAGAAGAATCTTTGCCTGTTAGACATGTTCTTATCTCTATCATCTGGAAAAGTGCTAAAGATTCTTGAGCATGTCTATTTTTCTGCTGACAAAATACATTGCCAATAGGTCCCCCTGCCAGTATCACGGAATTCCTATGTGATGCTGTCACTCATTTACATAATTACTAACAGGTGGTTTTGTGTTCCTTATGTTCTGACTTGATATTCTGATTTGTAAAAGTGGTGAACATTTTTTTTCTGCAACTGAATTTGATGGAAGCTGAGCTTTGAACGCACAAAATTAATCTTTAATTTTCTCCCCATCCCCCAATTTTGCAGCTCAGGTTGAGCATAAAAATTTAGCAGATATTTTTAAACTTGCTTTCTAAGATCTCCATTGCACCTCAGAGAGGAGCTATTAAAATAAGTGAGTTGTTTTTGAAGCATTAAGATAGGCATAATAGAGGTCACGAGGAAATTAATAATACTGCCTTTGAAGTGAAGTTTGTGTAGTATGACAGGAGGCCACCCACTAAACAGTACAACTAAAACAAAATATTAAACACCTGCTCATTAAATGAATACCAACAATCTGGAGATGTTTGGGGGAAAATGGTGTGTGATCATATAATTGCAACCAGTCCCATAAGGCATAAACAGAAAGGAAGTGATTAAAAGGCATGCAGACAGTCTTAGTTCTGGCAGTGAGATACTGCCTGCTTGATTTTGCAAACTTATTAAAGTTCTTTTAATTTTTTTTAATTATTTGCATATAATAAACATGGATAACCAACCCATAAGCTCACCCCTATGGCTGTCAAGACAAACTACCTGAGTCAGAATCTGATATTGCTTGCATATGTGTGAATTCTGAGTAATTTTTTAAGTGACATCATCCCCTACAAGCTGCTGAAAATGATATGTGGAACATAGGGTGTAGCCAGTTTTAAATGTCTTTGTGGTAAATCCTTGTCTTGAGTGGAAACACTGCCTTATATAAACCCAGTCTTATAATGGTTTGACTAAAATAAATAATTTATGACAATAAAAGTGTAGCATGGCTAGGGGAGGACAGAACAAAATTTATGCAATCCAAAGGCAACTTGGAATCTAACCCCGGTGACATCCTTTCAAATGAAATTACCGGTACTTGGAGTTTGTACCAGTATAACCGAGATCAGATTGTGGCTCTGCATCTGGATTTTAAGAAGGCCTGTACAACATTATGGTGATTAATAATATTTGTAGCCATGCAGGCTAGCATAACAAGGGTAATCAGAAGTTATTATTCAGACCTTAATTTGGTTTGCCATGGTGAAGTTGGGGATGGGGATCAGGGAAGCTCTGTCCGACGGTCCACAGTTGGCAGAGATGCATAACACAGAGTTTAAATTTTGCTTTGAAGCATCGAGATACTGATCATTGCCAAAGGCAGGCTCTCTCTATTGGCAGTACATATATTTCTAGAGCAGGCAGGAGCTTTAAGATCAAGCTTTGCATGTGCAGCATTGCAGAGTGACAGTGTTCTCAGGGAAGGGCATGGTCTTGGAGGCCTCTCTGCTGTTCAGAAGGACAGGTGTGCAGTCAGTCCTGGC